CAATGTAGATCTTCTTTTTCAAAATTATCTTGATCATTCAATTCTTTTGTAGTTCCATAAAATTTTAGATTTTTTTCTATTTTTGCTGCTATTTGCTCTTTCAGGGACAGACCTTAACCTGGTTTTCATTTTCCAAAATGTATGGTCAGATCTCTAACTTCCTGACGAGGTACATGATAGAGGCAGATATCACCATCATCATCTTTGTGCCTAAGAGGAGGCTTAGGGAAAGTGTGAGGAATAGAAAAGATGGCCTTGAATCTAGAAATCAAGGGACAGGAGGAGATATTAGAACAGCTACACAGAAGTCCATTCCCAGGAGCCCCTACTTGCTCCACCTGAAAATCTGTAAGTCCATCACTTTGAAACTTTTGCACCCAGGTTAGGTTCCCCAGGTTAGGACAGGGGAATCAGTATAAAATGGATCCCCATTCTCCCATAATATCTTCTCAGAAAGGAGGATTGTCTGCCTTGAATGAAGTGCTAAGAGAATGTGCTCAGTGACACCTCAGTGGAGTCTGGTTAACTGACTTGGTCCTCAATCCCTTATGGGTCACATTACTATCATCAACATTATTATTATTATGATGATGATGATGATAATAGGAAACTGAGACTCAATATTCAGGAGTTCCCCATGGTCTGTGAGATTCCACCAAGATAAATTATCACTGTGCTTCGATAAAATGACTCCCAGATTTTCTCTTTTAGGCCAATACAAGTCCAACCTGTCAGGTCATCAGAAGCTTGCCCAGAGAACATGAATAGTGTGAATTTGGGCCTCAATGAGAGAGATATCTAAAGTAAAAAAAAATGAGTTCATGTTTTAAAATATCCTCCCTAAATATTCAAGGACAGATGGTTTCACAGAAAATTCTACTAAGTATTGAATCTCAATCATTTTGGGAGCACAAAACCTTGTTGCATTTTGGAAATTTTAATATATATTGCATTTTATGAGCTATTGGGAAATAGGTGTTATTTTTACTAAAGGCATAATTGTGCTGGTTTTGATCTTAATAGGATGGCATAATCATGGATTCAATTTTTAGCTGGATGTACATACAAGGCTATGGTCCTGTGGACACTATCAAGCAACTTCTGTGTGCATCTTCTTTTAAGAAAATTGTTCAGTTCCCCTGGCCAGCAGATGGTAACACCAGAGGGTATGCTGGAATGGTGCTGGGTCTTAGACTGAAATTTTCTGAAAACCTGATCTGACTAAAACCTGATTTCTATGACTAAAGTCTCCTAAAAATCTGATGGTGTTACATGAGAGAAGATGTATTTGTTCTCACAAAAAAATGCTGCAAGTCTTTAAACAGTGCCCAACATATGGACAGTGCATCTAATTATCACTTATTAGATGTAGAAGCTTGTGGTTCCTAACTCAGGGACTTGAGTTAGGGACTGAGTGACTTTTCCTATGTGTTTGCACAGATAGAAGATGTGGGTGTCATCTGGGTGATCTTCCTAATTACAGATGGAAGGTCTGCTTGGAATTGAGTCTCAGCAGGGTTAGGGAACAGGAGGGGAGGTGAGCAGATAAAGATGGTGATGGGCATCACTGTGAGGAGAAGCTGGTGGGAGGTAGGACCCCAGGAAGTAGGGCCTTTCCACTTTATTTCTTATGGTATGTATATGCCAAACAGCAAACAACAAATCTTTCTAGTGGTTCCTCTTGCAATAATAGGAGGCAGAGGAGTTAAACTATTTTACCTTACAGACTTCTAATTTACATCATAATAAGCACGAATTACAATACTGAACATTAAAAGGAAGTTAAATCTGAAGGTCTAGGTCAGTAGATTTGCACCCTTACCAGGCACAGACAACTCCAGGGTGTGTGATATGGTGAGTGCCGGCTGCCCATCGTGCTCCACCTGGCAGGTGAACACCACGTTCTCCTGGTGGGCAGAGGAGTTCACCAGGAGCCAGCTGGTTTGGTTAAAGGTCCCGTCCTTGTTCTCTAGGAAGAGGGAGGTCGTTTCTGTCAGGGACACGTTTCCGTTCTCCAGCCAGGTCAGCTGTAGGTTCCGGGGGTAGAACTTCTTTACCTGGCAGGTGAGGTTCACCTGGTTCTCTGCTTCAGGGAATTCATAAATCTCTAGGGTGGGTGGAACTGAAAAGCACAGGACAGAAGCTCTGATCTCAGCGAACAGACAGATCACAAGGGTGGAGCTCCAGCACGGAATTCCCACCCACTGCAGGGATTGATCCTAGCAGAGGGAGGCTTACGGAGCTAAGCAGTGAGGAGCTGAACACTGAGTGCTCTTTGCTCAAGAACGGAATCACTAGCACAATATATAGCACACAACAGGAGCGCACATTCCCCGGGGCCAGCAACAACCTGGCTGTGCTGGAGATGGAGTAGGAGGCATGGGTGATCCACGCTGGTCAGGGAGGCTGACTGCTGCATGCTCTTGTTTTTTGAACCACCGCAGGCCGATGTTTCTGGGGGCTTAACCACAGGGCCTGCAGTGAAGCTTGCTGTGTGCCCAAGCAGGGTCCCCCTGGAAGCACAGGGGAGGTTGCAGAGCAAGGCCCGTGAGTCTGACCATTGGGGTTCAGATATTGTCTCCTTTACTTGGTCAGACCTGGAGCCTTTGTTTCTATAAGGACCAAGGTCCTCGCGGTGCTGCCGGGAAAGCAAATGCCAGGAAACACTCAGCCTCTGGAGCACTGCTGCTCGCTGCCTCCCCCAGCCTCCCCTCCTCCAGGCTCTTGAAGAGGAAACCTCAGTTTCTTCTTGTCAGTGAGAGAGAAAGCCACAGTTTTCTCTTTCCAGATGTTCCATCTTTCTTTCCCCTATCACATTCCTCCCCCAAGGTTCTGTCTCTGCATTCCCAGGGTATCCCAGGAACAGAAAACTCTGCCCTGGAGCTTAGACTGACAGGGAAACTAAGATCATGGGCAATTATGCCTGGAGAGATTTAGACCAGCCAGATATCCTGTGATTTTTCTGGCTTCATTTGCAATTCTTTGTCAACCAGTAAGAGATGTAGGAGCCTTTAAAAGGACAGACACAAAACTCCCTTTTAACTTAGTTCTCTACTACGTTCTTCCCCACTTGAGGAATTCCTTTTCCTTTCTCTTCTACTTTCCAATAAACTTTTCTGCATTCCAATTCTGAGTCTGAGCATCTTTATTACTCAACATTTTCATTCTTGAAAATATTGAAGAACCTGGGAATCATGAACCAACATAGAGACCCATCGCTTCACCTGCATCACCTTCACCTGGGCACCAGGAGGGAGAAGAAAGAGGAAAGAGGATGGAGACACTCGGTGGGAGCAGCAAAGCAAGCAGCTGTGATGACCGAGACGAGGGGTGCACCTCTGGGACTCCAATGTCAGGGAAACCACCTTCCCTGCCTGTGTCTGAACTGGTGATGGTGGGTCTAGTGGGACTCTGTTTACACAGATGAAAGCTCCATCAGCACAGCCAGGCCAGGGCATCTCCCCGAGAGGAGAGGGCTGCATAGACTTGGTTATCTTCCCAGCACCGTTTTATATCCCTGGGCTGGGAGCAACTCTGTTGTCAGCAGATTGTAAAACATTTGTCTCCATAGTGGCAAGTCTTGGTTGTGTCACGGTTGACACCTCATTGGAATTTGGGGTGAGGTGGCTGAAGGCTGGCAAAGTTTCTAACCCACTGTCGGCTATTAGGGGGCTGGATGGGAGCACATGTTGCTCTGTGGGAAATTGATGGAAGGGGCCCCAGCTCATTGCCTTGGTGGCATCAGAGGTTTGGCATCAAGGAAGGATTTGGTGTGATCATCACAACACTCTTCCCATGAAAACTTTTTTGGTTTGTTTCGTTTGGGGCCCATACCAAGCAATGCTCAGGGCTTACTCCTGGCTCTGCACTCAGAAATTACTCCTGGCAGTGCTTGGGGGACTATATGGGATGCTAGGGTTCAAACCTGGGTTGGCCGAATACAAGGTAAATACCTTACTATTACTCAGCTCCCCCCACCTTCCCCTGGCTCCATGAATGTGTTTAACACCAGGAAACCACCTGGGACAGTGGGACAATTCTCTCACTCACAGGCATGGCATCAGGCCCTGTCTCCCCTCAGTCCCAGTTTTGCCCTGTTCTGGGGAGTTTAGCAGGAGGGTGTCCAAGTTCAGACTATGCTACCAGGACAGAATTCAGGACTCTGAGCTTCGGGGAGAAACCCCCAATTGACCCATTTTGCTTCTTAATGGGACAATCCCTCAGTTACCACATGAAAACTGTTCCCAGGGGAGAGACATCCTGAGATTTTATTCAGAGTATGATCTGCTCATTCAGAGCCTTTGAGGACAGTGAATCTGTTTCTGAAGCCCAGGAGGAATTTTCAGGACAGGAGGACACTGAACCCCCAAATCTGCCCCCCTCCACTTGGTGCCATCTACTAAACAAGGAATATGTACTTCTCTCTGAACCTGTTTCTGATGATGAAATAACAAAATACACCTACTCCCCTCCTGGCCTTCCTGCAAGGCCAAACATGGAACATCAGCCAAGAAGAGCAATTGCCAATTGTGGCTGCTGTTTCCAGCACACCCAGTGAAGAGCCGGCCACACCTGGGAGCTCCACAGGTACTGAGGAAAGAGGAGATGCCCCCTACGGAGGGGAACCTTCTCAGGGCACAGAGGTGAGGCCCAAAGGGTGACTGGGCAAGTCACTCAGACCTTGGCTCCCTCATCCCTGCAGGATGAGTCTGACGGGATGGGACACACTGGGAATGGGACCCCTGGAGATTGGGGTAGCAGGTTCCAGACTTTGCCCCAGGAACCTGTCAGAGGGCCTTGAACAAACAGCAGGATCTCTGCAGCCTTCTTCCCTGATCTGCAGAAGGGTGCGAAACTGATAGTGGAACTGACAAGAGGACCAACACAGCGCCCCACCTGCCCTGAGTTGTTGCTCTCAGAGGAGGGCAACTGGCCTGACTGTCTGTGGTCACACAATAGGATGAAGGACTCTCTCCCTGCCACACCCTGCCCCCACTCACCTCTCACAGTGACCAGGGTGCCTTGTCCTAACTTTGGCTCAAAGATTAAAGGAGGCCGTACGTGGAACTTCATGCAAATGTAGGTGCCAGCATCTGCGAGTGTGATGTTATGGATGTGGATGGAGAAGTCTACGTTGCCTTTCTTTGTGACATCCGAAGCGTTTGTCACTCGGGGAAAGTGACCTCCTTGGAAGTTGTAGATTAATTTCCGGCCCTTCTCAGTATCCTTGTACCATGTGGCAGGCGGCCCCCTTTGGTTCGAAATCACATGGCAGTGCAGAGTGGCCGTCTCTCCCGCTGTGAAGGTCACGGACTTCTCTGGTTGGATCACCTGCAGTTCCCCATTCTGACTCGCCACTCCTGAGGGAAACACAAGCAGCTCTTCACTCGTCCTTGTCAGCCTGTGGCATTCCCCAGGTGTCTGTCAACAACCAACACCTTTAGCTGAGTGTTCAGCATGATGGATCCAGCACATGCCGTGAATCAATCAGAGTTTCCCCCACAGTGAACCTTCATTTCGTGAGTGTGATGCAAACAAGGAAACTGAGGAACAAGTAGGTTAAGGACATGGCAGAGACTGGTTTCTCTGGACCATCTGGCTTTGGCCAAGGCATCTGTTCCTCCATTGTCTGGCCTTAGGAAGTGTTAGACTTTCTCTCCTTTGCATTGTGACTATTTTTATATTTTGTCTCACACCTTTTTGCATGTGACTATTCTTTTTGTGGGTGGGTGGCTACACCTAGTGGTGCTGAGAGATCACTCAGGGATCACTCCTGGCAAGCTCAGGAGATTATATGGGGTGCCGAGGATCAAACTCAGGTCCTCCACATGCAGGGCAAGCACCCTACCCACTGTATGGTCACTTTGTCACTAGCCTCTCCCCTGTCCCTCAACCACCACTTTCCGAGACTATTCTGACCATTGAGTATGAGGAGAGGGATGGAGGTGCCTGGGGGTATCGTTGATTTGTCAGGACCCCAGTAAATTCATCTGCCTCTTCCCTAGATGTGCTCTGCCCCTCAGCCTGATTACTGAGTTAGAGTAGGTCCCTGTACTGATTTCTGGTCCCTGTATTTCATAATTGCTATTGCCTGATCAATGCATATTAGTATCATAATGTCACTGTGACCATTACCAAAAGGTTATTGCCTTAAAGCAATATAATATTTCATCAACAAATGAGTGGATAAACAAAATGTGGTGTGTAGAAAATAAAATATTATCCAACCCAAATTGTTAACAAAGTTCTGATCCAGCCTACAGAATAAATGAACCTTAAAATACTGTAATAATTGAAATAAATTGAATGCAGCTAGCCAGAGAGATAGTATGGCAGGTAGAACACTTGCCTGGCACATAGCCAACCTGGGTTCAATTCCCCAGAAACCCATATGGCTCTCCCAAGCCAATTAGGCATGATCCCTGAGTGCAGAGTCAGGAGTAAGCCTAAGTACCACTAATGTGGTCTCTAAACGACAACTGTATCAACAAGGGAAAAAAATGAGATTAAATGCAAAAGGAGAGATATTTATCACATATAGAAAGTACTTTCAATGAGCAAATCCATAGAGGAAAAAGTCACTTGGAGCTGGGGTAAGGTAAGCAAGAGTTACTAACTAATGGGGAGTTATTAGGGGCACATGATTAGGATGTTGGAAAGTTCTAGAAATGTGCTGATGATTGCACATTGTGATTGTACTGAATTGCTGCTTTTGTTTATTTAAAAAATAATTGGAATAATGTTTTAATTAACCATGATTCACAGTTATGAAAGTTTTTCATTATTAAGTTCAAGTATACAATGTTGACTTTTATACTTTCAATAAGAAGGCTTTGTGTTATATATAATTAGCACAGTAACAAGTGTGTACTAGGACAAGGTCATTAGTCTTTGAGTTGAGTTAAATGATTCAAGGGAAAATATATTATGTACAGTATCTGAGGTTGGCAGTTTTTTTAAAAAAATGCATGCAATAGCATAGCGGTAGGGCATTTGCCTTGCATGCGGCCGACCTGTCCAAGCCAGGTTCAATTCCTCCGCCCCTCTCAGAGAGCCTGGCAAGCTACCAAGAATATCTCACCCGCACGGCAAAACCTGGCAAGCTACCCATGACATATTCGATATGCCAAACACAGTAACAACAAGTCTCTCAATGGAGATGTTACTGGGCCTGCTCGAGCACAAAGATGAACAGGAGGACAGTGCTACAGTGCTACAGTGCATATTTGAATGTGAAGACAGACCAGGAGGCAAGAGAATAAGAAATAGCACTTTTCAAAATTTGTGGTTTGGAAAGAACAGAGCTTTGCATGGACAATGAGTTATGAGTTGAAGGGACCCGAGTCACCCTGATTTTTTATACCAAATGAAGAACTTTTCAGCTGGATTCCCTCCCCTGAGACTAGGCATGTTCTGGAATTATATAAAACTATAAAAATGTTTCTTGTGATTTGAAGGGTTTCCCCCAACATGGTTCTGGTAGCAGAGATCTACATAGAGGATCAGCTATGGAAGTAAATGGAAGGTGAAAGTAAACATCTCACAATTAACATACCTGCACCAAATTCTTGACTTTCCCACATGACCTTTATATCTCTGCTTTATTTTTAAATTTATTTTGAGGAGGAGGAATATGGTTTTGTTTTTGTTTGAGGGTCATACCTGGAAGTGCTCAGGGGTTACTCCTGGCTCTGCACTCAGGAATTACTTCTAGAGGTGCTTGGGAGACCATATAGGATGCCGGAGATTGAACCTGGGTTGGCTGCATGCAAGGCAACAGCCCTACCTGCTATACTATTTCCTGGCCCCGTCAGCTTTATTCTTGGGCTTTTTCTCTCCATGCCAATCCAATACATCAGAAAATCCTGTTGGCTCCAATTCAGTATGCTTCTAAACCTGAATTTATTACTTTGGTCTCTATGAACTATGGTTTGGTGCAGCCACTAGTTTTGCTTGTATAAGTAGAATGATTCCTTTGTGTCTGTCTGTTTGTTTGTTTGGGGACCATGCCTAGAAAAACTTTCTTTTGAGTTTGTGTTCTGGGGGATCACTCTTGGTGTGACTCAGGGAACTTGTGGGGTTTCAGTGATTGAACCCAGGTCAGCCACATACAAGGCAAGGGCCCTACCCCATGTATTATCTCTCCATCCCCCAGAATGATGTCCTACACGCTCTATTTGTTTTTGCTTCTATTCTGCATTGCCTAATCTCAACTAAATGTACAATAGTTTAAAACTGAAGTCAGATCATGACCTTTTTGCCTTCAGATCCTGTAATGCTAAATCATTTCACTCTGAGCGAAAATCTGAATCCTTGAGTACAGCAGAAACAGCTTCTTCTCAGGCCTTTGCACATGCTGTTCCCTATGAGGAAGTCTCTTCTTTCTCCAAGAAATTCATATGGTTCATTCTGCATCTTTTAATCTCTGCTCAAACTTCCCTTTCAATGATGTTCACTCAAAATGCCCACCCTCTTTGAAGTGTATCCCGTCCTACAGAATCTCCCAATTTTCTTATCCAGTAACATTCCAACTTGTTCCATAGTACTTACACATTCTAAGTGACATTTATGTGTATTATGGTCATTTCTCACTAGGATATAAGGCTCAAGAGGACAACTATTTTATTTATGCTATTCTCTAAGGCACAGCAAGTTCTATAATGGCTCCTGGCAAGTGGCAGCTACCCATTGAAATATATATATATATATATATATATATATACTTTTTATAATTTATTTATTTATTGAATCACTGTGGGAAAAGTTACAGAGCTTTCAGGTTTAGGTCTCAGTCTTGTAAATATCAAACACATTTCCCTTTACCAATACTTATTTTTTACCACGAACCCCAATAGAACCTCACCTCCCACCCCTCCCCATTCCTGTGAGGCAGATGAGTTCTAGTTAACACTCTATCTACTTTGACTAGATTCATTATGAAATATATTTTTTAAGATTTGTGAACTGGGCTGGAGCGATAGCACAGCCGGTAGGGCGTTTGCCTTGAATGTGGCCAACCTGGGTTTGATTCCCCCATCCCTCTTGGAGAGCCCAGCAAGCCACTGAGAGTATCCCACCCACATGGCAGAGCCTGGCAAGCTCCCCATGGCGTATTTGATATGACAAAAACAATAACAACAAGTCTCACAATGGAGATGTTACTGGTGCCCGCTCGATCAAATTGATGAACAAAGGGAGAACAATGCTAGAGTGCTACAATGAATTGCCCAATGTGGCATGTCCTTGAAACATAAATGTGGAAATTATGAATTTCCCATGTAGATGGCTTTGTACTAAACAAAAGTAACTTGCATATATGCCAGAAGCAGAGGAGGCCTGAAGAAGAACATCACAAGCCATCTTCCCTAACCCCCACTTATTTTTGTTTAAAATTTTTAAGTTTGGAGTTCCACCCAATAGTATTCAGGCTCTGTGCTCAGGGATCACTCCTGCAATGCTCAAGGCTCTGTATGCTGTATGCAGTGCCAGGGCATTGAACCATAGTCAGCCAATGGCCTAGAACCCTGTACTATCTCTACAGCCCCCAATTTTCTTCTCCTGACTTATATCCAAACTACCCGAGATCCTGATCACAGTAACAAGCCTGTCACACAGGTGCTGGGTGGGTATGCCCTATCCCCAGCCTGTTTCACACCCACTGACAGAAGCTCCAGAAATCTCATGGCATGGAAGTGAAGCAACAGTAACTGACAGTACTAAAGATAAACCATGAACTCCAGAATCAGGCTGTCTGAGTTCTATCACAGCTCTTCAATTTTCACTGTGTGATCTTGAGATCTTCTGTGCTTCCATTCCAAGATACTCATGCACAAATTCTTACTTGTCTTAAAATTGGGGGAGGGAAGGGGGAAGTTTAGAGGGGGAAAAGGAGAGGAAGTTTAGAGATAAACAAAGAGAGAGGATTACAAAGAGACTTAGAAAATTAAACACTTATAAATATGCATTTCATGTTGGTCACAGAATGATTTGAAAAAATAGGGCCAGAATGGTAGTACAGCAGGTAGGGCATTTGCCTTGCATGCAACAGACCTGATTTCGATCCCAGGCATCCCATATGGTCCCCTGAGCACTGTCACGGGTAATTCTTGAGTGCAGAGCCTGAGTGCAGAGCCAGGAGTAACCCCTGAACATTGCCAGGTATAACCCAAAAGCCAAAAAAAAAAAAAAACAAAGAAATAAAGAAAAAAAGAAATTCTTTCTAAAAATCTTGCATGTGTGTATGAGTATTACACTTCTCATTCCTGCTCAGACAGATACACATTTAAGTACATATATTCACAAATATCACAAATAAATATAAAGTAGGGACTAACATGCTAGTATGTTTTGAGAATTAAGTCAAATTCTAGAGAAACTTAAATGCTCAGTAAAAAAATCTGTCATGTTTGAATTATCCAACACAAATTATCCAACACATCATTACAGTAGTTTGTAAGCACACAAAGAAGGTGAACCCTAGAGACCTCTGAGATGTGTGATGTTTGAGGAGTTATTTTCCTCAGTTCTCTGCATTTCTAAATTTTTCTCTACTTATCCTCCACTGAGAAGTCAAACAAAAAAACAAAGAAAACCAGAAACAAACCCTCTGGAGCTATTAACCCCGGACTTGAGCTTCAATAGCACCTCTGACTTAGTTCTGAAACCTTGAGGGGATGATTCTTCTGCTTCATTTTTCCCATCTGCAAGTCAGAAAAAATAGGACTAGCTATAACCAGCATGTGGTGAGGCTCAGAGGGGCTGAGATGCACAGAATCATTTCTGCTGCTTGAAACATCATCTATTTTGACAACCCTGGTAACAGGGAGAAAGTGCTTAGAGTCCTTTCTTAGCTTTTGGTGGACACAGTATTTATCTGGAAGTCTTATATATCCACAGGCAGGGGCTGTAGAGATAGCACGGGGGATAAGACTGCATTGGACGCATTGGATGCATTGGATGCATTGGATGCATTGGATGCATTGGATCCATTGGATCCATTGGATCCATTGGATGTATTCGATAAGGGGATTGGATGCAGCTGACATGGATTCAATCCTTCAAACTGCCTCTGGTCCCCTGAGTATTACCAAGAGTCATCCCTGAGCACTTCCTGGCTTGACCTCCAAACAAACAAACCTACAGGCAGGAGAAGGATGGAGGAAAAGGATTCTACCCAATGTATTGCTCACCTGTGAGTCCCAGTAGTAGAGTCAGAAGCAGGTAGGGAGGAGGAGAGCTGGGCTGGGAGACAAGGACCGGCATTCCGGAGGCCTATGGAGCTGGCAGTGTTCAGGGGTAGTGTGGGGGAACCCTGCCCTATTTGGTGCAGACAAGCCACACCTAATATGACACAAGAGAAGAACCTCTGGTGGGTAAAGTGGCTGAGAGGCAGTAGCCTGCTCTAGAATTAAGCAATTATTGTCTCCACAATGTGAAAAAGGAGTCCAGGAGGGTAATAAAGCTGAGAAGTTACACATGAATATTCTCAGTGAGACTTGCACAGGCCTGTTACAAATAATGCTTCTGCTTCATGTGAGACCTCTGCTATGTTCACTTGGCACCCTTACCTGACGTTGAGAGCTTCGTGGTGGTTCAGTATTCATAAATTCTGGGTTAAGATTGATGTTTGGTTGTATCTTGTGCGTCAAACTCCAAGCTCAGGAACTCAGAAGCGACTTACCTGGGCTCATGCTGCACCAGCTTCAGTCCCAGGAGCTATCAACTGACAAGAGGAAGAGAGTTTGCTGACATCTGGCAACTTTCACATTGAACCAAATCTGCTTCTGAAATGAATCCCATTCCAAATGTTTACTGATATACTGATAAAATTCAGCTCAAATCCATTGTCACTGAGGACCTTTTATATGTTTTCAACCAATAAAAGAAATCAGTTCCTGACTTCTTTCAGTAGATAACTGGGCTGTATATCCCAGCAATTACACTCTCAGGTATTTAACTCAGAGATATAAGTAATGTGCCTACACAAAAACCTGGGAGTGAATTTTATAACAGCTTTCCTTGTATGTCAAGTAATGGGAAGCAAACAAAAGTTTCAATAAGTGAATGATCAACTGTGGTGCTTCCATACAATAAAATAGCACTCAGCAAAAAGAAGAATGATTACAAGTGCTATAACTTGTAAGGCTCTAGATAGATTGAATAAGTCCCTCTCAGAATGTATGATTCCCTCTGACTTGTATGATCCCCCTTTAAAATGTCTTCAACATAACTGAGAAAGGGAAGAGATTGCAATATTCCAACTTTCTTTGGTTATCACTGTTGAAATCACTAAAAACTAGCACAAGAGAGAACTTTGTGGTCATCACCTTCCTCTGCATCCCAACTATGGAGTTGATTTGACCAAAATTTACATAAAAATTAGCCTAAATCATGGCTTAGAGTAGTACAAGACTCAATTCTAAAAACCCATCTCATAATCATTATAATGTGGACACTATTAAGTTATTCATAGTCACAGAGAATGACAGGGTGTGATGGACAGAGATTATGCATGAATGCAGGTGTGACAGAACAGTGTATCCTCATCACCCAAAGTATGGAATCGATAAATAATGCCTAAGAATGATAAATTTTAAAAGTATGGTAATATGCTCACATCATTTTTGAGATATAGCAATAAAATCTAGAAAAAAATCTGTTAGAAGAGTTGAAAATTGTTGTGTCTGGCAGGTGGAAGTGTTTGTTAGAGGGTAGAAGATCCCTCTTCTCCTAAGTTCAGCTTCAAAGACTATTGACCCTTCAACAATGTGTATAGGTAAATTTGATCTGTCACTGTCACTGTCCACCTGTTGTTAATTGATTTGCTAGAGCAGGCCCAGTAATGTCTCCATTGTGACACTTGTTACTGTGTCTGGCATATTGAATACGTCACGGGTAGCTTGCCAGGTTTTGTTGTGCGGACGAGATACTCTTGGTAGCTTGCCAGGTTCTCTGAGAGGGGCTGAGGAATCGAACCTGGGCCAGCCGGGTCAGTCACATGCAAGGCAAACACCCTACCCGCTGTGCTATCTCTCCAGCCTATAAATTTGATCAAGATGTAAAAATATTTTAGATAATTAAATTAATACTAGGAGTTCTCAAAGAATATACATAATATTAACACTAGCAACAGATTTCTGAAAGTTTGCTGGATATGAAACTGATATTTAAAACTCAAATGTGGGGGCTGGGGAGGTTGTACAGTAGGATGGTGATTGCCTTGCATGTGGTTGATCTGGGTTTGATCCCCAGTATCCCATATGGTTCCCCAAGCCCTGCCAGAAATGATCCCTGAACCAGGAGTTAGCTCTGAGCACTGCCAGGTATGTTCCAAAAACAAAAAAAATCAAATTTAATCCACATAGACACTGTAGGAGAAACGGACACACTCCAGACTAACCCAAGCTCTCTTTCTACTGGGAAGGCATCCTACTATAACATGGATGAAACTGAAAACATTATGCAAAGTGAATTAAGATAAGAAAGCAAAAATTACCATATGATTCTACTTATACTATCTGAGTATCCAGACTCATGGAAAGGTGAAGCAGAGAGAGGATTTCTAGTATCTAAATGAAGGGGAAAATTATCTAATGACTATCAAGTTTATAAGTTTTTAACTATCAACTAAAGTTTGTAATTTTATAAACTTATAAAAATTTAAGTATAGAGTTGTGTAATGATTATAATGTTTAAGTTTGAAAAATTAGATAAGTACCTAGGTTTATTTCATAATTGTTTGAATATAATAAACAGTCATAAACTGTGGTTAAGATGTCAAAAAGAGGAAGAAGAAAGAGGAGGAAGGGTTGGAAGAGGAAGAAGAAATACTTGAAAATGTCACAACAGAATATTCAACTATGAGAAAAGATGAAATTTTGCAACTTGGATCACGCTGGGGGATGTCATGTGAAGTGAGTCAAATAGTAAGAAATACCAAATGGTCTTACTCATATACAAAGTATAAAAAAGCAAAGGGATTAGACAATCCCCAATGGAAACTGATTCTGAGATAAGATCAGTTGAATTGAAAACTGAGGTGGCAGGAAAGAAGATGGCAGGATAATGGTGCAGGGAACTTGAAACCCTGGTGGAGGTATGAGTGTAATAGCTGGGCAACTTTAAAATCATGATTTCAATATTATTGTAAACAATGATAACTCAATTTCAAAAAGGAAGAAAAGGTCCTGAAGTTCAAATGTATTGAGTTCACAGAAGACGCTTTCTGGCTAAGTCACTGATGAAATTTGTGCAAGTGATAATTTAGAATAAGAATCTTTTTAACCAAAGTCTCACTTTGGGATTAAGTTTGGTGGTACTGAAAGAGAAAGCCTCAGTTTCCCCTTGCCAGTGAGACAGAAAGCCAGCTTCCATTTTGTGCCTATGGGTCATGAGTTTACAACCTACTAAGAAAAACATGCCAGACCCCAGGGGCATGAAAAGCCCCTACATCTGACCACAGATGACAAGGATGATTTAAGTAAATGCAGCAAGATGCATTAGCCACTCTGTTTCACTTCTATACCTCCACATGCTTGCTTAAGGCCATGAGCACCTGCCAATGCACATGGCAGGAAGCACCCATGCACCTAGCGAGGGGGCATCCAGACTCACAGGTAGGAGGACATAAGGCTTACCCTCTCCCTGAAGGGAATCAGGGATCCAAGTCCAAGGAGCAGTCCCAGCTTCTGAACCCTCAGCACTGAATACCTTGGATGAGTGTTTTGTTGTGTAAATAAAACTTTGAAATATCTGTCCTGTCTCTGTGTGTCTCAGTCAGCAGCTGAGCCACTTAACACCCATTTGGGAAGCTTCTTTTCTTTTCTCTTTTAGCTTCCAATAAACTTTTCTACTTTCCAACTCTGAGTCTGAGCACCTTTATTATTCACAATTTTTTTTCTTTCTGGGTCACACCCGGGGATGCACAGGGATTACTCCTGGCTCTGCACTCAGGAATTACTCTTGGCAGTGCTCAGGGGACCATATGGGATGCTGGGAATCAAACCAGGATTTGATTCAAATTGCAAGGCAAATGTCCTACCCACTGTGCTATTGCTCCAGCCCCATATTATTCAATATTTTCATTCCTAAAATTATTGAAGAACCTGGGAATCGCAGAGACCTGCCACCGCTGCTTCTGCCTCTCCTGCATCAGTACCTAGAGCACTTTTTAATCTCAGCTCTTGGATTTATCACTGTCTATCTAAAAGACCTAATAATGACCAAACTAGCCTGCTTAGTTTGAAATACTGGTATAGAAACCTCTTTTATTTGGATGACTTTATACTTTATTATTTACAGACTAAAGAGCAATTAGCATCTACTCTCAGAGTTATTTCATAACAGAATAACCTTAATATGTACAATAAAAGAACAATCCTCAATGAAAGATTAGTATTTCTGGCCCCATTTTACTAAGATATTATTAACATATAGTATACATTTTACACATAATGATTTGATTTATGTATGTTTTATAAAATGACTATCACAATAATATATAATAATATAATAATAATATGATGTTAACATCCACTTCCCTCTGGGAGAGCCTGGCAAGCTACCGAGAGTATCCTGCCCACACAGCAGAGCCTGGCAAGCTCCCCGTGGCATATTTGATATGCCAAAAACAGTAACAACAAGTCTCACAAGGGAGATGTTACTGGTGCCCGCTTGAGCATATCTATGAACAACAGGAGGACAGTGCTACAGGGCTAACATTCATTACCTGTCATTGTCACACTTTTTTCTTATGGTGAAAATTTTCAATTTACTAAATAAGCAGCTTTCAATATACCTATAAGAATCATGCTGTTCTTTACATTTCTGGACTTATTTGTGAATTACCAGAATTTTGTGTCTCTTTACTAGCTTCACCAATTTCCCCAGCTGCTTATACTTCCTTCCCTTCTATGACAAGCAATCTCTTCTCTGTATCTTTGAATTTGGTGTCTTTACATTTTTAATTATTTTTAAAATTTTAAATGTTTTAAAATTTATGTTTACTTATGTCATATTATTTCTATCTTTGTCTGACTGTCTTATTTAGCAAAATACTATATACCCAGCCATTGCTTGATCACTTGATCATTTGACATTGCTGTTATTCATTGATTTGCTCGAGCGGGAGCCAGTAATGTCTCCATTCATCCCTGTCACATGCTAGTGTACCCCAATGACGTCTGCTTGCTCCATGAGCACGAAGAGCCTCAAACCGATCGTTCCAGGGTCTTGACAAGGAAGTCTGACCATCTTGTAGGTGG